TATATATGGTATATGTTATATAATTATAATATATATATATATTATATTAGTGTGTGTGGTGTGTGTGTGTGGTGTGTGTATGTTAAGCATGTATGTAGATGTATTTATATATTTATATGTAGTGTGTGTGTGTGTGTATGTATGTGTGCGTGTGTGTATGTGTTGTTGTGTGTATGTTTTTAAATATATATATATACATGTATATATATTTATATATTTATATATTCATATATTATAATATATATATATATTTATATATATATATACATAGGTGTGTGTGTGTCTATGAATGTCAATGTGTATGTTTGTATGCATATATGCTTTTTTTGCATGTATGTATGTATTTGTATATGTATGATTTTTATGTGTAGTTGTGTGTGTGCACATGTGGATATGTATATATGTATCTTTTCATGTGTATTTTACGTGTGTATCTATGTGTTCATGTATGTGTGTATGTATATATGTATGTCAATTTGCCTTTATATTTTTCGGTTATGTATATTTCTGTGTGTAAGTATATATGTGTACATATATACATAAATATATGCATACATACATATATATATCATATATATATATATATTTATATATATATATATATATATATATATGTATGTATGTATGTAAATATGTATATATATATATATTTATATATATATATATGGGTATGTGTGTTTTTTTGTGTGTGCGTGTTGCGTGTATGTATGTAATCATGTAATTATGTATGTACTGGTGTGCATGTATGTATATATATATATTTATATATATATATAAATATATCTATATATATATGTGTGTGTGCGTGTGTGTGTATGTGAGTGTGAGTGTATGTATATGGATGTTTGTATGCACGTATGTATTTTTTTTTGTATGTATGTAGGTTTGCGTGTGTATAGTTATGTATGTACGAATGTATGTATGTATGTATATATATATATAGATAAATGTAAATGATAGTATATGTATGTATGTTTATTTGCAAGTATTATGTATTATGAATGTATGTATTATGTATTATGAATGTATTTATGTGTGTATGTTTGCATTTATGTTTGCATTTATGAATATAAGTGTATGGATATGTATTTGTATGTTTGTGTGTGTGTGTGAGTGTATGCTTTCCGGGAATTTGCTCCTTGTACGTATATAGAAATGCAAATGTAGTCAAATTTGAAGATTTTACGACCTAGATAGTTATTCCGTATATGCTATGAAACACTGATGTCAGTTTGTGTTTTGCATTGCTCCGTTTGTTACTTTGCAGCGGTGGACAACCGCCCCAACAACAATATACTGAGGAGCAAAAGCAACAATGGTACCAATACTATCAGGTATGGATTTATAGTCATCAGCATAGGCTCTGCTCTGAAGGTATCTAGTTGAGCTTACATGCTTGTGTCTTTTTGGAGATCTATATCGCCTTTCTCGTCTTTTTCTGCACGCTCAGCTAGCTGCATAGTAGTTATTGTATATCCAGGTAGTGTATATTTTGGACAAAACAAAACATCTTTACACTATTGCAAGTCAAAAGTATTAATAATTGTATTAACTTGCGCAGATTGATGATGAGTGAACTTAAATCTTGAATGAACCACTGACGATTCTACTCGAACCATCTTTCGTATACTTATCAATTGTGGCCTCATCTGTTAGTATTTGTCGGGCATGCGCAACAGAATGATCCCATTGCGACCCAGAAAATGTATATTGTACTCAGTCCACAAATTTTACTTCTCGATATACCTACTATCCTCATAGCAACAGCAGCAGCTACAACATCAACAATTGCAACAGCAACAACAACAGCAGCAGCAGCAGTACTACAACCAAATGCAGATGGGCTATGTCCAACAACAACCCGTACAGGCACAGGTATACCTCAACGCCGGTTGCTTGCATCGACATGTAATTGATGTGTAGATATAAATGTTCGGTGCTGAAAGCTTGTGTTCAAGACTGGTAATTGGGAATGAAATTTTGTATAAGTAGATATGTTTTTGGGGCTCAAATCTTTAGCTACTTCTCGTTGCTATCAATGTCGGAAACCAGTTGTATAGAATGGTGACCCGAGTTCGAGATATAAACATGATTGGCTTCCCGAATCGTCATCAAAATGCATGAGTTAATACGTTCTCTCAGAATCCAAGACATGTGAATGATGCGTCGCAGTTGTTTATTTTTCCTATGCAAAACATCCGTTGTCTCGTTTGCCTCTTTCGCAATGACTAGAATAATGTACACGGGCGTACCCATCGCGAGGATTTAGTGTTTTGTGATTTATTGCGTCATCTTGTCTGCAGCCCTTCAGTATAGTCTTATATTCTTTCACGATTAACATGTATGTGCATAAACCTTGTATATATATATATATGTGTGTGTGTGTGTGTCTGTGTATGTATGTATGTATGTATCCCTATAACCCCAAACTGTTAAACCTCGCTGTCGGTCATTTTCTCCGGCTCAGACCGGTTACTACCCCCAGGCGCAGTACGGCTACCAGCAAACCCCGGCTCAGAATATGAATCACTACGGGCAGTATATTCAATACCCGCAACAACCGGTATGCTATAAGATTTGTTATGTGTAGTATGTATACATCTATGAACGTGCGTTATAACACAACCCAAAAAAAAATGTGGATCGTGTCAGATATCTATATATATAGCTAACTTATATCTTCGTACCCATACACAGAAACTTAGTTTTATGTATGCACTCTATTGGCTAACATAACTTAAGTCTTTAGTTTACATCATTCGACCATGTTCTATGCATTTTATGCACATTCCAAAACCCACCATCATGCAAACAAGTCCACTCGCAGACTAGGCGTCACACATCACACTGACTCGTTAAGTATATGTATATATATATGTGCAAAAAAAAATCTAGATTGTATTAATCAGTGTGTATCTACAATGGAGCTATAGCTCTTCGGGGTTATGGTAGATGGCTCCATCAGGAAGGATGGATCTCGTATATGTATGTATATATATATATATGTATATGTAGACATGTGTCTGTGCGTGTGTGTGTATGTAGATATATAAGTACATATGTGTGCGTATGGCTGTATTGTGTAATTTCTAATGTATACTTCTTACATAGCTTCGTTGCTATGCATATTCTGACATGCGTGCCACGGCCACACGACTATGTATTTACTGTTGCACATGATCAATCCGATTTTGAATGAGTGGATATATATAGAGAGAGAGAATGAGTGTGTGTATGAATGCGTAGGCATAATATCTGATTCTGTATCGCTTTCTATATTTTGTTCTCATTCTTCTAGTCAAACGCAGCCCCTTTGCAACCGGGTATGCAATGGGTGGTCGACAAGGTCACGAACCAATGGGTACAGGCACCTTTGGATATAGCACAACCCTCGGCTAGAGAGAGTTTAGCGCCTCCAGGTATGTTCGAGCGCTACTATTTGCCTTTTGCATAAGCTTCATGTGTATGTTCAGTGCCAGATTGTGTGTGAATTGACTGGTGAGAGAAGGTGATGTAGCCCTTTCATCTACTTATTGCAGTAGCTTTCTGTGTATGTTCAGTGCAAGGTTGTGGGTGGATCGGCTGAGGAGGATAAAGGGATGGTGTATTTATTACCATACTCTGTGCGAATGGATTCCCATTAAATGTCCATAGAAGTTCTGTGCATAGGATACGTATCGTGTGATCCGTAATGCTGTGACATAGCCCTGTCCTCACGTAGATCGGATATCGCAGGCAACCGACCTTACATCCTTACATACAAATTTCGAGCACTTCCCACCTGTTTATAGTATCATTCTATTCTTAGTAAAGGTTTGTACATCTACGTCTGTGCAGGCTCCGCAGCGTTCCTTATAGGATGCCAAACTTTAAATTCTTACATTCTGAATATACAATTCAGCACCTCATATGGGCTTGACTCTGTCTCTCCCGGACGAAATTTCTGTACTTCAGTTCATCTCTCCACTCAACACATGCAAGTCAATTCTGCATACGAATATGCTGATAATTTACTTGAAGTAGGTGCCATCTCTCGCTAAGATATGTCAAAATCATATATAATCATACCAATATACAGCCTTATACATATATTTGTTTATATATATATATATATAATATAGGTGTGATCCCGTCTCCGCCTGAAGAAGCACCTGCACCTCCACCCCCGCCGAGCGGACCGCCTCCCGGCATAGCACCGGCAGGGCCACCCCCTGTAGGGCCACCGCCAAAAGAATCTCCACTGGCTGGCCCATCGCAAGAATCACAGCAAGTCTTTACTGGGCCTCCTCCTCAGGCGCAACAACCAGGTATGTTTGCGTTTGGTATATTTAAATATTTGTGTATTTATTTGTTTATTTATCTATTTGTTTATCATTTTATTGTATCTGTGTGTGTGTGTGTTTTGTGTGCCTGGTGTAGTTTCAGTGTATGCTTTGGATACAAATTTCGGCCAGAGGTGAAATCAATTGTTCACTGGATAGCTCACGAAGGCACCAGCCTTCTATGTACACGTGGATGGTGTTCGGGGTGCAATTTGCCTTCTTGATCTTAATAGCATTCGGTGAAACAATCGATAGAGTAAACTGTATCTCCTGCATGCACAACACGCCTCGGTATATTAATGTAAGGAGAAATGCTGCGACCTATATCGCAATGCACTGTACACCTCTCGTTTCTTTCTATTCTTACAGTTATAGCAGCAATCACTTCCATTGTGCACGCACTGAAATCATTGTGTTATATTATTTTCACAGCGGCACCTCCAGCACCGGAAGCGGCGCCAGCCTGGGCACCAACGTTAGAGCCATTTGTAAACCGATGCTTTATGGGACTTTCGGATGAGCAGGCAGGGCTGATGGACAAGTATCTTGCAAAGTTGCTCGAGATACACAAAGACGATGCATCCTATCAATGGTCGAATGAGGTGGGTTCATATATTGTTTCTTTGTGTAAGGTGTGTTTGTATGTTTTCTTCTTGTGAGATGGTCAAATGAGGTTTCTTTACATATGATTTATATAAGTTCGTGTGGTGCCTTTGTATGGGATGGTCAAATGTGATTGGTTTTATACTTAATGTGGTTTTTTTGGTATCTTTATATGTGATGGTCAAATTGGGGCTTGTATATTGATTATTCGTGTTCGTGTGGTATCTTTGTATGGGATGGTCAAACGTGGCTATTTTTTATATTGTTTATATGATTTTCTGATATTTTCGTATGAGAATGTAGAGCTGGCGTTTCATTGTGCGTGTATAGTGCTGTCGCCTATACTTTGACGGCAAGCCTTTTACATTTTGTTGGCGACTTGATGAGAATTAAGATACAGCTGTACATTGAGATAGCTTTAATACACACCGAATTAAATGGTTTGAAGGGACCCTGTACATATATAATCGCTCCCAAGGTATTGAATATATACCTAATGCGATCTTCTTTTCTGACATATACCTCCATGTTGTCCTCGAAAAGTGTTAAATGACAATCTATACTAAATTTCGATTTTTCTCGTCGACACATACCTCTAGATTGTGCCGACCACCACAGACCTCGAGCGAATGGAGCGCACTGGGGTGTGGCAGCTGCCTAAACAGGAAAATGCCAAGACCTCTTTTACAATTGCTGGTAACAGAGACAAACGGCGTAAGGTGAATATATCTGCTGTATCTGTTGCTCTATCTGTTGCTCATTTTAAATAGAATCTGCTTGCTATAACCACAATCACACTACCATGTTGCAGTAGTATACGTGCGGCAATCGCATTGGGCAGACCGATGTGAGCCAACCGGAATGGAATTACGGGCTGAATGGGTTATCAATATTCCTCAGACTGACAACTGCATTGATTGCGCGTAATGTGCCTCTGAGTGCAGTTCGTATAGTTGCCTATTGCTCGTCTATTGCAAGCATGCCATCAAGTATAGTTGAACATGCCATCGTGTACAGTTAAACATGCCAGCGTGTATAGTTAAACATGCAATCGAATGTAGTTACACATGCCATGTTGTATAGTTAAACATGTCATCGTGTATAGTGAAACATTCCATGTAGTTCAACATCCCATCGTATGTAGTTTCACATGTCATCGTGTATAGTTAAATATCCCATAGTACCTAGTTAAACATCCCATCGTATATAGTTAAACATCTTATCCTTAGTTACACATGTCCTCGTGTATAGTTCAATCCGTCATTGTTTACAGTTAAACATCCCATTGTGTATAGTTAAACATCCCATAGTATATAGTTCAACATCCAATAGTATATAGTAGTCCATGTTATCGTTTATAATTAAACATTCCATCGTGTACAGTTGAAGACGCCGTCGTATATAGACAAATATATCTCCGTATGTAGTTGAACATCTCATCGTATATAGTTATACAAGCCATCGTGCATAGTTAATATGACATCGTGTATAGTTAAATATGCCATTGTGTATAGTTATACACGGCATCATGTATAGATATCCATGCCATCGTGTAGTTATTCACGCCGTCGTATATAGTTTTCCATTTCATTGTGTATTGTTAATCATGTCATCGTTTATAGTTACACATATCATCATGGTTCAGACTTCCATTGTTACTCACATCACCCGACTGCATATGTCCAGACATCCAAGTGGGACGCCAGGGGAACTTCTGATGAGGAGCCGAGCAACCCCCCCCATCTCCATGGGCTTAGCTAGCAGACTTTCGGGTATCAGTGTGGCCGTTGCGGATGAAAAAAAGGGCAAGAACGCTGTGAGGTGGAACGAGGTAAGCGTCTCGATGTATGGTGGGTTAAATGCCCTCTATGTATGAAGTGCCTAGGTAATTGTGCATAGCCGTAGCATCGTATCGAAGCGTAGAGAGGAGGAATCAGTTGAGATCTGTTGTGTATCGATGGGCTGTCGTAGGTAAAATTGCTGGATTCTTCTAAGACGTAACCAGAACCAAATTACCTGATACCTGCGAACACGGTTTAAAAGGCAGCTACCCGAGTTTGTATGTTTGTATGTTTGTTTGTATGTATGTATGTGTGTGTGTGTATATATATTTTTATTTATATATATATATACATACATAATTATGCACACACACATACACACACAAACATACATACATATATATATATATATATATATACATATATATGTTTATATATATATATATATATGTATGTTTATGTTTATATATATATATGTAGTTATGTATTTATATATGTGTATATATATATATATATATATATATATATATATATATATATGTATGTATGTATGTCTGTGTGTATGTGTGTGTGCGTAAGTATGTATGTATATATATATATATGTATATTACTGTATATATTGATGAGTTCCGTGTTTGTATTTTTAAAATAAACATCCACATCGCACCGCAGACAGAGGAAGAAAAGGCGGAGAATGCCCGGCGAGCAAACCGGGCCGCACGGTTTGATGCGCATCTGGATAAATCCAACGGAAACGACCGAGATCAAGGCAACAGTTCAGCGGGTGGGTCTCAGAATGGCTATGGAGATAAGAGGAAAAGCAATCGGCCGAAAGGTGGGTTCAACGAGAACCTGTTGCGAACCAAATACAGGAATCCGTACGAGAGCTTTGAGGACTCACTGCACCTGAAGAAAATTCAAGGTATGCGTCTGTGAGGGGTGTTACTGATTATTGAACAATCGTAGCTTATGGAATTATTGATTGTTATACAACATATTACTTCGGTAAGTGACCTGGGCATACGCACTTAAGAAAATGTGTTTGGGCGTACTGGCGTGAGCCGAATGTGTCTATTTGGGCGTATTGTCCAGCCTGGTGTGTGTAATGCGCTATGGAATACCTGCAGCAAGTGCATCTTAGTACGTTTGTGATGGGCGAGATGATCTTATTTACACGTGCATGTATGTATCTCGCAACGTTAGAGGATCACTTGGCTTCGATATCTGTTTGTTTAATTAACGAAAGCAATCCCTAATCCAACAGTTGCCCTGCTCTAAGTAGGCACGCAACAGTGAACTGTTGTGTTGTCTGTGGCGCTAATATTCAGTATTTACCAGTAATACTGCAGAGAATTCACTCTATTCTGTGCCCATATCACACAGGAACGAGTACTGAGTTAGAAAAGAAGCACCTGAGATTAACGGCCGAGCCCCACCCAAGCACAGTGCGACCAGAACACATTCTGAGGCAATCATTGCAGATGGTAAAAAACAAGTATGTCAAGAATGAAGACTACTTCTATGCACGGGAACAACTAAAGGCCATTCGACAAGACTTGACGGTATGTCTATTATATATGTGTGTGTGTGTGTTATGTACTGCATCTATGTATGTGTGTGTGTGTGTGTGTGTGTGTGTGTTATGTACTGCATCTATGTATGTATGTATGTATGTATGTATTCATGTATATATATATGTGTGTGTGTCTGTGTGTGTGTGTGTGTGTCTGTATATATATGTATGTATAGATACATATATGTATGTATAGATACATATATGTATGTATAGATACATATATGTGTATATGTATATATATATATATATATATATATATATATGTATGTATATGTATATATATACATATATATCTGTGTATGTGTATGTTATGTATGTAAACATGTATATATGTATGTGTACATATAGTATATATTTATAGATATATATATATATATGTGAGTTTGTGCGTGTGTGTGTATGTGTGTGTGTATGTGTATGTATATGTATATTTATATGACTGTAAGTATGTCAGATATGATGATACTTCCATAGTTCAAATAGAAAATACAGTATTTGCACGTGAAGAATATAGCGCAGTTCGTATAGTTTGTATTTTATTTCTTCTTCTGTCTTGCATGACTGACGAACAATGGCCTCTGTATCCCCCGGCACTCACCCCGATACAGATCCAGCAGCTGCGTGGCGAGTTGTCGGTCGACACATACGAAACCCACGCACGTATCGCACTAGAACAGGTATTGGCTAGGATAGTGATAGGGTTATTAGTGTGGTGTTTTGTTCTGGGTCGCTGTGTTCTCCTGTATTGGTGGACTAAAGGGTACGATCCATCTGTAGCATGTTTCCTCTAAATTAGAACAGACGTCGGGTGTTCAACGTTCGATCGAAGTATGAAGCTATATATAGCCTTCGGTGTGTGTGTACTGTCCTATTGCTTGTCTTCAGTCAAAACATGCTACTTCCATTGATGGTACTAGCCAGCGCCTTATAGTTACCCGTCTGATGTATAGGAATAGTGCTGTGATGTGAGGATTGCGAGGCAGTTATCAACAGTGCCATAGCCTTTTAGCAGGACAATACGATACACTTTATGTGTACAGTTTCATCACATGGTGTGTGTCCGCCTCGTGTGTTTTCGCCTGGTTGAAAGAATTTTCTCACCTCCTTCGCCAAGCTGTGCTCACCACCAATTCATCTTGGCAACAGAGGCACTAAAAAAAATGCTAATCTCTCATCTCTGATTTATCTGTATCTGTTGTGTTGTTGTGCTTTGCTATACACGTGTGCGCCTGCTTTATCAGGAGGATGTGGGTGATTTCAACCAGTGTCAAACGCAACTCATCACGCTGTACGCCGAGAACAAGGGATGCCGGCGCAACGAGTGCGAATTCATCGCATACCGCATTCTATACTATGTCAACACCGAGTCAGATGCAGGTGAGCATGTCCGTACAAATATGTTGCAAATCGAGTACTTTTCTTGCTGTGTTCCGTCAACGAAGACCCGAATGCAGGGCCCGTGGTGGTGCGTGCCCATCGCTATCGCACACTAGACTATGTAACCACGGAGACAGATGCAGAGAAGCATGTCGTACACGTCCATCGCGTAGTGTACACTGTCCTGTGTCAACACAGAGCAGATGCTGGTGGATTTGTTGAGCTTCGGCGTCTCTGTACATTTCAGTGTTAACCTTTATGGTAGTGCATATTTATAGCCTATCGGATACATATCTTGTCAACACAGTGGTAGATGCAGGTTGGTAGGTGGAGAGGCTCGCCACTATTCTTTCCAGTGCATACGCCTCATACAGACATGTATATATAAGATGGAATATGGCACTTCTATGCAGATTTACACACTGATTGTATGGAGGGTTGAATCTTATTTATGATTAGTGGACGGCTTTCTTCGCAAATACGGTGCTTTCAGTTCTTGTCTTTCGTCAAGATTGCAGCAGTTGAAAGTGGGTGTTCAGAGCTTGGGCAGCTTTCTACATCCGCATGCGTAGATATTGTGCGAAATGTACTTGTTGAGTACTTCTGGATGAATATATAATACCAATTTGACTCGGAAGTATACAAGTATATTAACAAGTTTCTACCATATGACTTTTAATCATGCACAGATCTGATAGCCTTAAGGAAATCGCTCACACCGCGGCAGAAGCAAAACCCCGCTATAGAGCATGCACTGGCTGTGTTTCAGGCGGTTTCCATGACCAATTACTATCAAATATTCAAATTGTATCAACAAAAAATAAACTTGAACAATTATGTCATGGACTTCTTCCTCCCCAGAGAGCGGCTGAGATCCTCGAGAGTCATTTGTAAAAGGTATGGGTATATACTGTCTATGGCATGATATTCATTTTACATTCCGCACAATTGCTTATATGTATGTATCACATGATCGTTACTCACATAGAATTTGTCCCGAAAAGGAACCGGACTTCAGATATGGATTCGTAGGCTAAATCATATCCCGCGTAGAAGTATTCATATATGTATAAGTATATGTATATGTATGCATATTTAAAATGTATGTGTATATATGTATTATGTATGTGTGTGTGTGTGTGTGTGTGTGTATTAATATTTATATTATCATTATTATTATTATTATTATTATTTTAATTATTATTATATATATATATATATATATATATATACATATATACATACATATATATGTGTGTGTGTGTGTATGTGTGTTTGTACGTGTTTGTGTGTGTTTGTGTATATATGGTCTGTCTGTATTGTGTTTGTGCCTGGTCCTGGTGTATGTATATGCTGAATGCGTTGAACTCGTTGCACAGTTTCAAGGGTGGTACACGTTCTATTTCAGTGCAGCGGATGTATCTCTAGTCCATTCTGATCGCACTTGACTGATATTGCTTGCTTATACGAACAGCATGGGTCCGACCGTGCCCAGCGACTACATAGTGGAATCATTAGGCTTCAGGAACCGACTGGAGGCTATTAGCTTTCTAGAAGACGTATGTATGATTGTGCGCACCACGCACACTATACACTCTTTTTCTTCTAGCGTGTGTGTGTGTGTTTGCCTGGTTTTTATGTGTGTGCATCGTTGTGTACCTTACCAATTAATTCCATCGTGAGAAAAAATTCAAAGAAAGCGTGTACATACAAGTATATATCTAAGTGTGTGTGTGTGTTTTATATATTTATATATATATGTGTGTGTGTGTGTGTGTGTGTGTGCGTGTATCCGTCATCCTTTGTGCGTATGAGTGTGATATATATTTAGCATTTGTTTGTATATGAATGTAGGTAGACACGCGTGTATTCATATACATGTATGTATACATTATCTAATATAGCCGTGATTTACTTCGCAATTGGCAGAACGGTGCGATCTTCAAAGACGAAGACTGTACCCTTGTCGATACGCTGGCTACCAGGAAAGCCTTATAGTAGAAGATCAGATAAGCGTAATTTAATGGACTTGTGATTGGCGAACCTGCTCCCATATATCTTCCCGTGTATATGCCGCAATATTGTATCCGATACGCACATAATCAGCTCAGCCGGAGTACGTTCCCAATGTAGTCATCGAGTCGAGTGATTGAAGTGTGGGCTTTTAGCGTGTAATCATATGTGCAACAATCTTCAAACACATGTCGTCCTGCTGGGTAGTTATTTTTCGACGAGGTTTTCAGGCTCTATTCAAGTCTTCGCTATCATTCAGGTATGCAGATCCGGTAGATACAAAGGTAAGTGTTTCAACAGGAACTTAACCAGGCCCCTGTAGATCCTTGTGGCCGGCCCCCGACTCCCAGGTGCGATCTGTACTATTAAGTTATGGAGGCACACTTTGGAGATGCTTTCGAACGCTCGGCACGCGCTAGTACCTATCCGAGGCTGCATGGTACATTTCTAGCTGTTATCGCCAGCACCCATCCTGCAATTTGGCACGGCACGGCCCCTACACAATCTTACAACCTGTGGATTCCCAGAACCATGGGAAAGAAGATTTGAGACACTGCAAACTTACCATTCTTGCCGTCTCTATGCATACACACATCACACGCACAAGCACACCTTTATCGCGCAAGTATGAGTCCTTTCATTATTTGAAAGTGCGGAAAGGGTTCATCATTGATGCGCTACCATATGCCGCGTGATTATAAGAATATGTACTTGATCACACGACAGTACGCAGAAAGACTATACTGGCTATCATCATACCCGCAATGAACATTGTCAAAATACTGGCCACGCCCGCCTGAGACCACAATATTGGGAGTGTTGGAAGTATTGTCTGCGGATAGCAAAGGAAATGAAATTTTGTAAGCGTATATATTTTGCTCTAAATTGACATTGCCGTTCGGAAGCCGAAGCCAAAGATGTACTATTTATACTCGCGTGCACCCATCAGTCGTGGTGATATATACACCATATAAGAATGGAAGGAAATCTGCACTTTCTGCCAATCGAGATTCGAAAGAGGCGACACTGGTGGTATTAATGATAAACTCAATCCTGGAACGAGCCGGTACTTGTAGAAGGGTGTGTAAGATTGAATCAGTGCGCCCTTTAATTCATCTGTGCACTGAAAACACAAGCAATTAGAAGAGAGCATAAGCATGATATGGTGCTGATGCGATGCGGAAGCTACTGAGAGACGTTTCTAATATGTACATACAAATGGCCTTAGGCGGGCACATGAATTCCCGCCACATATGGCAGTCAACACAGGGTGTGTACTCCCTTGTGTGCATGCCTTGATAAAGTGCCCATATGCATAGCGGCGCTTCGGGGAAATTCGCAGATAACATCTGTTAATCTTTATAGTGTGCGTTTAGTGCACAAACAGGGGAAATGTACCAATAGGGTGTAAAGTACCGCGTTAAATGAGGATGCAAATCGAAATAAAGGATCTCAACTCACTCACAAGTGCAACATGCCGATTAAAATCGTATTTAATTTCCCCCAGTGTGAATAAAAGTCATAAGAATGATAAAATGCTTGATGGTGAAAAATCTCGAATTCCAATTTGCCGTTCGTATGGACTTTATTCAAATTCAGAAAAGTTTACTCATTTAGATCCGCTCTTCGAACAGTCTCCAAGTTATGGCCCAACTGTAGAGTGGTAGAGTAACTGAGTTGATATCAATTTAAAATACTGCGATATGGAATTGCCTAATTCGGTGCATAAATGTTAAATAAAAATGCCGACACCTCGGAAGACACCCTGGAGGCACTCCAATTCCGCAGAAAAGAAAATTGTCGCAATGCTATTGTCCTGAATTTATAAAAATGAATACATATATAAGAGAGATCTCTTAATCATATTGGCTATATACAGTACTTCAAGGTTTCAACATGTTAGTGTCAGCGATAAGGACCAAATCGGGCCTACTACCTAACGTTTCCCCATCTATTATAGTTGAATTACTTGCAATGCTTACTATGAGTAACGATACACTCGACGCTGCGTCTCCACGTTTCCTCAACGAACAAATACTGCATGAGAGTGTGTCGGGATCTATCTATAAAGTGTACGATACGCATTTGAGGAAAACTGCAGCTGTTAAGAAATTCAATACTGATCTCTCAAGCATCGCCCGCCACGAGTACGAAATATATACGGCTATTGGAGAGCATCCCAATGTGGCACAGGCGTATGATTTATTTTACGATGATATAAATCAGCAAGCCTGTCTGGTTATGGAGTTCTGCGATGATGGATCTCTGGTAGACAGACTTACCGTCGCCCCAACTGGTTTCGGGCGTGAGGAATTCTTACACTACAGCCGACAGTTAGCTGCTGCAGTCATGCATATGCACTCGAAAGGGGTCGCACACCGAGATATCAAGGGAGACAACGTCTGTATGATGTCGTCTGGGCGAACACTGAAGCTCTTAGACCTGGGCGAAAGCCAAGTTGCAGAACTCCCGGTAGAAATACTACAGTGTGGTACGATCACGTATTTAGCACCAGAAATAGTAAGCGCGACACACACTGCGCGAAGCAGAGTAAACATATACAACTGGCATTTCGATTTGTATAAGTCTGATGTTTGGGCGTTGGGCATTACCATGTATTCAATGTCTACCTCAAGGCTGCCCTTCCAGTTCGCACATGAGACCGATATTGGTTATCTGCATTATCTACGGAGAGACACATTTGGTGACTGGGACACCTGGTGTAGTATCGACGGAGACATTCAAGAACTACTGCTAAATATGTGTGACCCCGACCCAAATATTCGCTGGTCCATGGAGCAGGTCGTGCACTATTTGAGTGCTTTGTCGTGAGTGTATCATACTTTAGGCTGGTAATAATTCGACTCATCTAGTAAGAGATATTTTTGGAGGCTGGAACACATAGTGTAGTATCGAGAGAACATACAGGAACGAACCAATGCTGCACGTGTCTAATACCGATACCAGTGCTCGTAGACCATGAAGCAGGTCGTGCAATATTTGAGTGCTCCGTCGTAAGCATATAATACTCTTGAGGATCTAAGGTGATATCAAGTCAGCTCATCACAAGCGAGACGGTTTTATTCAAGGACATAAGAAATGTGCCCACACAAAAAACAGTAGGAGCATGAAGTGCTAAATCTTTTCTCTCTGTGATAGATTAGTAGCAACACCTCAATTATGAGAACGCAAAAAAAAAAAACTGTTCTTTACACGTATATGAAAATAGCTCGATCACATGGGTACTGGTTACCAATAAACACGTTCAACAAACCTGTGTACTAAAACCCTTTTACACGACTTGTGTTAAATTTATTTAATATCGCATTGCAATCCACAGCTGTAGGTCTTTCGGTTTGTACAAGGGTTGTTTTTACTTTTTACCTTTCTCGCTCGTGTCATATTTTTTGCCATTTTCACCAAAATGGGGGAAATTCAAAAAGTGCACTTCAAATTTGATCCGGTCACGTACTAGCGCTCATTACTCCATACACGATGTCGTCGTTAGGTGGATACGATGCTAATCCGAAGGCACCTGATATACCGGCCAGAATGCTGACCAAGGCTGTATATTTACCGCTAGTGGGTGTACTCCTGGCTTGGAGTCTCGTCGGAGGGGTACTACATGGAGGTATGTATTTACGGAAGCCCAAGTAAACTTTCAAGAAGGAGATACATATTTGTAAAATGTTTTTCAACGTTCATGTACACGAAATTGCGACCGGGTGTATAGATCTAAGAACCCGCTATATATATATATATATATATATAGTATATTATATATATATATATATATACAGTACGTAATACTATATATATATATATATACTAGGTACTAAACCTATATATATATATATATATATATGTTTATATGTTTATATCCCAATGCATGTGACATACTTTCCAGACGACGGAAATGACTATTCGATTTTCCCAATCCTTGATATTCATTGTTTGCAATTCATTCCGATCTTCTCAGGAGGCTTGGATCAATCATCGTACGGCTACCGTTTTCTAACGAGCACCTGGGCTCTCTTCATTGGTGGTTTCTTAATAGCTGGGATCCCATTCATGCTAGCCCCGCCGTACGTCAAGTTGACCCATGATGCGCGCGAATGGCTGACATGGCTGTGTCTATTTTGCAGTGCAATGGTAGGACTCAGATGTGTCGAGTCGTATGGTTTTGATCTGCTGCACAAGGAGAGGCATGCGTATGTGCAATTCCTATCAGAGAAGATCTTTGATTGTGAAGCGGCGATAGTGGAGCACCCCACCGTGAAGTACGTCTACATCATGTCTGGTACATGTCCGTATGATCTTGAGACTATACTGTGGGAAAACATCTACGAGTGGAGCCTTATGATGCTGCTGCCACTCTCTTTCGTACTCCCCACGTCACGTCGCTCTATTGCACTGCTATTCAACTTAATCTTTTTAGCCAGTGGTGCTCTCTTCCTGCACATCATTCCATCAGTGTACTACCTGCGGTATGTTCCTGGTGTGGCGAGTAGTGCTATGTTAAACTTGCCCTTCGCTCTGTATGGGATCTACACACTGTACGCTTCCGATCTCGTCAATGGGAACCACATCATGCTTGGCACGATCGTTGCTGGCCCCTTAGGCTTGGCCGTGATCAAATATCTGCCTGTGGTCCTGTTCCGGGAAGCGTTCATTGGTAAAGAGCTACAGCACAATCTCATTGTATGTTTGAGTTGTGGTCTGCCCCTGATGAGTATATTCCTTACGCCCACGCCTACTGCTGTGGGGTGTGCAAATCGGGGTGGAACGGATCTGAAAGACGGGAAGAAACGCATATAAATTAGAATTAGATACGATGTCTGTACAGATTTAGACGGAGAAGTATATATGGATATTGATTATCGAGAAGTATACATGGATTTTGATTATAAAGATGGATATGCGGATATCAATTCGCGCTGATCCAACTGGCCACTATTGGTCGCCGCGCTGGTTCTTTCAAATACGAAACGCTTGCTTTACGATCTAGATCAGCAGCCTTGTGGTTTTTCACTCCGGTTTTTATGGCATATCACACTAATAAAACTGACAGATAGGCAGCAAACGTTAATAAACAACGTTCACAGCAAATGTTACAACAATGCAACTAGACAAACACTGTTTACAGAAAATGTTATAACAGTGCAACACAACAAACAACGTTTACAGCAAATGTTATTACAGTACAACTAGACAAACAATGTTTACAGCAATTGTCATTACAGTAACTAGACAAACAATGTTTACAGCAAATGTTATTACAGTGCAACTAGACAACGAACGTTTACAGCAAATTTTATAACAGTACATCTAGACAAACAACGTTTACAGCAAATGTCACTACAGTGCAACTAGACAAACAACGTTTATAGCAAATGTTATTACAGTACAACTAGACAAACAATGTTTACAGCAGTTGTCATTACAGTAACTAGACAAACAACGCTTACAGCAAATTTTATAACAGTACATCTAGACAAACAACGTTTACAGCAAATGTCACTACAGTGCAACTAGACAAACAACGTTTACAGCAAATGTTATTACAGTGCAACTAGACAAACAACGTTTACAGCAAATGTCATTACAGTGCAACTAAACAAACAAGGTTTACAGCAAATGCCATTACAGTGCAACTAGACAAACAACGTTTACAGCAAATGTCACTACAGTACAACTAGACAAACAACGTCTACAGCAAATGGCATTACAGTGCAACTAGACAAACAACGTTTACAGCAAATTATATAACAGTACAACTACACAAACAACGTTTACAGCAAACGTTATCCCAGTGCAGTTGGGGCAATATATCTCAAAAACTTGTTTATTAAAAGACCCTCTACTATCGGAAATTGATGTAATTCAGAGTTATCTATGAATGATTCGCTCATCAATCGGGACGCGCTTCACGCCTACGCCTAGTGCGCCATACAAGTCGGGACAACATATCTCCCCGTAAACTGTTCACTTGGTTTTTAGAAGGCCCTCTACGCCTGCAGTGCACTGGAAGTTTGTGCATTTTCTTCCCATGGATGCCTCGCTTGTTCAACAGAAGGAGAAGTACGCCCTCTACTGTTTTTTCTACCACTTCGACTGCTGCTAATATGCTGAATAGGCCTATCCTGTTCCCCGAATAAAGCAATGAGCGGCACACAAAAAAATAGTTGATCACAATCGAAGATGCCACAGTCACCTGAACTTCAGGTCTTAAAATGCACCATGGCCCAAAAGAATTCTAACGACACAATAAATACTTTATTATTTACTATTCATAAGCTTAAATAACATGTATTTTTATATACACATATATAATAACCTTTCACAACAATACTATCATGATAATTTATCCTTCAAAGCTACCTCGCGATACAACCCTCAGATTCTACAAACCAAATATTCACCCTTCCGCCGACAGTATTTTCAGGTATAAGGAAGTTGACATAGATTTCCTGTGTGGAGTTATTGCAGGAGGCATACTCGTACGTGTAAGTGTCATTGACTACCGGACCCAAGGTTACCAGTAATTCCCCACCTCCATCTGTTAAGGTATAGTAGAGAATGAATAGATTAGTACCCTTCACTTAAACGTCAGGACCTACAATTGATACTTCGACATGCATATTCATATGCGTTATACAGTCATGTGTCAAATAGCAGTGACTGATTTAGAAGCGGGTCATGAGAATGAAAACAGAACTTTACTCGAAAACTACCTACGTTTAAAAACAAATACGTACTTGATCCTGTAGTAACAGTTAGTGCGGTATCCGCGGGCCCTTTATAACCGATTATGGAAGTGTCGCCAGCGCTGTATAAAAGTGAGACAGGCAAAAAAACAGATTTAGTATCACAAGTAAGACATATACCTGTATTAGACAGTTCGAATGTGTTTGATCCAACTGTGGGCGACAGAGGCAGTCGCGACTTATAACCTTATGATACGACAATGAATACCTGGCCGTGCTGCAGACGGATACTCCCAAACCCCTCTCCATGATGCGCCTAAAACTCTGAAACACGTCGCATACGTATCCCATAGATACATAAACGTATATCAAGCTGCGACATATGTATGCGTCATATACTTACGTCACGTTGAAGCTGCGGAACTGTAGGGTACCAGCCGGATAGTCAGCTGGCAAAGCGCTCTCGACAGCAATACACGTGCTTTCGGTGCACCAGGCAGGGAACTCCTGAGGAGTTTGAACTTCAAGAACACCCTGTGCATTGCTCGTTCCGTTTGCGGTCAAGGTAAGCGTTGCCGGCGTCGCCTGTGAAATAGTCCGTAGTGTTGAAAGGTTTGATCACTATCAGAAATAGAACTACAAAACAACCAGTTGTGTCGAGCGAAACTTTGTTTAATGTCGGATAATCGAGGCTGATCGCATCACCTGCTTTTAGTCATATGAGTGATTGCGGTGTGTGATATGTGTAGGACCAGCCGTGGTGCTTAGAGTAAATTGGTTTCGAGCATACTGTTACAAACCAGAGTGTGCCCAAACAAAATGTGCAAACCTGTATACTTCAATTGCAAAATTCGAAGTGGCAGTCACTACCGAGAAGTTCTAGCTACCTACTCAGTTCAGAAGTACATCAAACTAATTTACAGACACCAAAAATATATCAGAACACGGTGTGCTATAAAAAGGTCTACCAGAGTATGTATGAAGTACGTAGCCATCAGTGTGACCAAGGTACTTCGACGTAGGCGTGATTACCAAATGAGTCTGTAAACAAACATGGCACTGTGGATCATATGACTGATCCCACCTGATAATGAACTGGCAGGTCAATAGATTTCAAGATCCAAATCGTCAACAAATACATCATATCAAGGTACAAACAAAATCTAAGGTCTGTAACGTGAACTTCGATATCTGTCACAATACTGGGAGAAGCACGACGGGAATTGTGACCACGTGTCTTTAACATGAAAACAGCTGCGCACAAACTAACATACCACGGCACTGGGAGATGCACTGTGAAGGGGAGAGGTCGTAACCAGAGCTTCGCTGCTGGCTGAGGGTACCGGGGTGGAAGACTCAGTCGCAGATGTGTCTTTCGGCGTCGTTGCAGGTAAGTCTTCCTCGTACGAGAGCCCTCCGTCCAGAGAGGCAACTATTTATTTCGTGGTGAGAGAAGAGAGTAGCGATTGCCAGTATATGATGATCAGAATGTGTGAGTGTGGGTCAGGCCATTTAAAAAGTGATTCGGCCTGGAAGTCAAATTCAGATTCGAATTCGAATTCGAATTCGACAACAGCTGACTTCAATACAGCAAGAGCGGCACTGGCTTGACATTGTCACCTGATGAAAGTGGACAATTTACACGAACCCCGTTCATAGATAATAAACTCCGTTCATTGAGAACAAAATTCCGATTATTCAGTTTGCAGCCCAGGATATAAAGGTATATACACATTCAACTTTGATAGGACATACGCTGAATCGGTGTGCCGGTAGTGGCCTGGATCCAATCAATATAATGCGACACCCTTGTGTACACGCCGTACTTGTCTGGACGACCGCAACCATCGCCCCAACTCACAATACCGATCTGCGGCTGCGTCCAGTTTTGTACAAACTGCGGGCCTCCACTATGGTGGATATATAACGGTGTGGGTTTAGATGACCGTCGAGAACGAAAAGAATCTAGTCAAAAAGCAAAATTAAATGAACAATAAACCAATCACTTTGGAGAAACAACTCACAGCATATTAACAAACCAAATATTTTGTAACAAGGTTTGAACATTTTAACAAGGTTTAAACACGCAGAGGTGACACTGTGTATCTACCTGTCTCCAAGACAGGCGTCGAAAAACCCGGTCCTGTATCCTGCACACATCATCTCGTCAGGAAGGAAAAAGACCTTATTATTATAATTGAATGTATTCTCACAGACGGCGGTGGGTTGCAACGGGAGGTCCACTGTCTGCAATTGCGAAGAGGCGCCTAAATTCTCGCTTAGCGTACCAAACCCTACCACTGTGGTGTTTGTACCCGCTACTTCATTGGCCCTGTGAGAGGAACAAAAATTCGGACGATGAGAAGATATCGATCGGATCGATTGGTTCTTGACTGAAAAGCGTTCAAAATCAACGATTCCGCAACGAGATGAGACGACACAAACTGGCATGACACATGCATACCATGGAAATCAGACTGAAAACAAACAAAGGTCCCTGATTGAGTTCAATTCAAGAACAGTCCGGCTACATATACATGAAGCACCGATTGTGCTCCTGTGGATTTGTCGTTTTTCACGGAAATTGCCCACGTCTACAAAGAGATACAAAACGCAATCTATGCTGCACCCATACATGTCCCGAGCTACGCCTGCGTGTGACATTACCACATTATCGCAACAAAGAGAAACAAGACCCACAGCAAATAATCGCGACCAGATACGTGCCGAAGCGAACGCTTGCACAGACAAAATTTTCTTGCCGAGTGCAGTAGGACCCAGATACGTGATTTGAATTTCAAGTACCCGACAAAATATTCAAAACGGTGACAGAAAAGGGATTGGGGGATTAGGTATCACCTGCATATGCCATTCACGCGCCGATAGATAGAGCCAAACAGAAACATCTGAGACAGAATTGCATATGAAACTCGCCTCAATGATTAGAATGTAATAAAAATACGAAACTCGCCCCACTTACGGTAAGTCGTTCATTGTGGCAACCTCCAGATCTGTCACAGACTCGTTCAGTTTCATCACACATATGTCGTTGTGTACTCCTTCTATCGTATCGAACATAAATTCCTCGTGGCACTGCATTAAAGTAAGAGATTTCATGCAGATGAGCTGAGCTGTACTGTCGTTTTACATGATTTGAAACTCTATCTGGATAGCATGACTGAAGATCAATAACGTGCAACAAGCTTTATAACTGAGTTTTACAGCCGATGTACCCCGATGTGCCTTGTGGCGATACAAACATGCACAATAATAGCATAAAAGAATACCTACTCAATAGCATTAAAAAAAATTGTGTACTCGATAGTGACTGCATTTTTAATCGGTTCTCTAATACGAATCACATATAGTTGGGTCAGTATGCCTAGGTTGATAACTTACATACCTTGTACTCCACAATTTCTCTCACAACACAGGTGTCCGATTCCGTTAGATCGAGGCATCCAATCCAGGCCTCATTTCCGTGTGTATTTGACACCCCGTCGGTCTCGACACAATGGCCGGCTGTTAAAATCCAATCTTTGTGTATTAAAGACGCCCCACAGTACGTCTTTATCTGTTTCAGTCACGAGTACATAGATACCAAATTAGTAAAATCGATATAATCACTATTGATCCCCTGACTGTAGCAATTTTGGACAAGACACTCCTTGGAGAACAATTTGGAAGGGTGCGGTCGAATTAGTTAATGTGAGTGCCCGCAGACAATTGTCGTTGGCAATGTGATCGTATACTCGCTAGAAAAATAGAAAAAGACAGCAAAATACTGAGGCTAACTATCGCGAGTAGTGAACGAATTCTTCCATTTACACTACATATCTGGTAAAGGAACGGAGTCGCAGGTATGGTAAATACACACTCAATATATGTAGTACACATTTGTATGATCAGACTTTCCCTCAGAATACGATAGTACATACACATGTGATATACGTATACATACGGTGTCTGGTTTGTGTTGAATAAACAACCCAGGGAACTACAGCTCGTTGTAAACGAGCATCCACTGGCATCAATACTAGGCGATATACTGAAAATACTACAATTAAAATACACAGGTGTAATCGCAGAGTACATTCTTATAGAGTCTTGAATACCCGACAGCACTCATGAAATTGTATAATTTCAATTCGCCACAGAGAATACTAGCCTCATCTCTGCAACTCTCCGGGTGAAATAAATGGCTTAAAATATATGTATATCTGTATGTACATACACGTGTCTAAATATGCCCTCGACATGGACAAACTAATGGAATATCCGATCGATATGCCCATGCATATCCTAGAATGACACATCAAACCACACCTAAAATGTTTCTAGCAGGCGTGACAATACATGTCACGTTCTGGCAAGGCATGAAAGTATCTGTAGAAAAATATCATGATAGCGCCTACAGACTTGCAGATACGATCGATGTCAAATCCACGAGCACAAATTCGAGATGCCGTGTCTCGCATAATTTTCCGGTCGACAACAAAAGACTATCATCACAGCCACACACAAAATCTGTATAGACGCACTGCCACACCCAAATCAGTATAGATTGTAGTTCCCACAATTTGAAAATCAAAATTATTGTACAAATAACCAGCTTTCTATGTTTATAACTTTCGCTGGTGTTTAAACCCACATACAAGTTTGCTGCATCGTGAATAGTGAACATCCGATATCGAACAAAGTAAAAATAGAATACACAATACCTGAATTCGCCCGTTATTAAATCTCTGGACATTCCTAAGGGCCGCCATGTACGGTATAACTTCTACTTGTGAATCTCCGTTCATTATACGAGCTTGCGGATATGTAAAATCTTCATCTCTACGAACGTCAGCCGACGAGTGTGCATTACTACCGACCGTACCGGAATGTGGCTGCGCTAGACAATGAGGCGCGAATGCGACTACGGCGGCGCATGTGAGAATTGTACTTATCATTTTATATTATATACTGTGAAAGAAAGTTAGCTTATGTATCAGTAGTCATGTAATGCAATTAGTCTATCTGTGTAACAGCTAGCAACTATGTGTATGCGTTATATGTGATATGATTTGGAACTAGAAAGGTGGTCTCCTAGGTTGCTAGTTCTTGGGTAACACCGCGAACGTGAAGTGCGAGTGTGACGACGAGAATCCTTGCTCAACGTTAAATAATTAAAAATATATATCGTTAGATGATAGGCTGTATACTGGCAGATTACCTGGCTCTCGGGATCTCAGGCACGACAATGCTACAAATGATATGAAAGCCAAAAGTGGGTGTATGAGACTCTATGAGATCATGCCACCATTTTCTTCGGAAAATAACGTGTATGTACCGTGTGTGTATTGTGTAGATCGCTTTCGGCTTTACTCTGACACTATTTTAGAATGGGTGTGTTTACTGTGTCGCCTGCTACTGCTTCGACAAGTCAGACCGTCACCCGCCGACAAGTCAGACCGTCACCCGCCCCGAAGGCCCGAGATGGACAGAGGGCCCGAGCCCCGAGCCCCAAGAGCCGGTTATTTTTCTGAAAATGAAATGTCTTTGTGTTTTGCTTTTTTGATGTTGTTTTTTTCAGTAAAACAATAATAGTATTCACTTTTCACCCAACCAAAGAAAAGGTAGTATGTAAATATGTTTCTGTACATAAACCTAAATAGCACAAGTTTTACAATATATTTATTTTGTAAAAAACAAAACAAAAACACCTGCGGAGTCGGCTGAACGCCTGAGAGTAAATACTGAGAGTGTCTGAGACTCTGACCTTGAAGTCTGAAGTTTGGACTCCTTGAGGAAATAAAATTGTAAGGACAGAAGGCGTGGAGGCTGGAGCCTGACAGCGTCTACTAAGGGTTGAGGCTCTGAGCCCTGAGGCCGAGGCCACTGAGTGAGGGACGGAGGGCTGGGCTAGCCTCTGAGTAAAATATATTTATTCAGCGATCTCCGCTCTCTTTTTTTAAATATGGCTATGTTCTTTGCCCAATCGTTTACCATTATCTATAGTATTTATAATTTAGCAAATTTATGTTTGAAAACTGACCAATGAAATTATATCTGACACATTTGTGCTTCGGGGGTTGTTTGCAGAATGTAGGGCCATATGTGCTAAATGTACCTGGCTGTACATAAATATTTAACCTTTGCAGTTTGGCGATTGCATGATGTTGATTGTTTCATTATTTATTTGGCTGTTTGCAGTTTTGCACTTTGCACTGCCGTGTACATTTTTGACTGTTTTCACTTTGCAGAGCAGGTTTGCAGTTTGCAGTCACCAGAGTCTGCCACTCTACTGGTGGAGTCTGGACTCTGGACTCTGTACTCTGGAGTCTCTGCCCTCTGCAGTTTGAACTTCCTACTCTCTCTCTCTCTTACTTAGAGAGAGAGAGAGTTCTGTAGCGAGCGTGAGTGGTGAACTGGTGATGAGTTGGTGACCCTCTTGCGAATGCGGGGCCCTGGTGACCTGGTCTGCACTTTGCACTCTGCAGTTTGCACCTGCCCGTTTGCAGTTTTGAGTTTGCACTTTGTACTTTATACTGCCCCGGGCGCTATGTAGTACATAGGCGGCCAGGCCCAGCGCCCCAGCGCCCCAGTGCCCCAGCCCCTGCCCCCCGGTGCCTCCATTCAGCAGAGTATAAAATGTCAATTTTTACAACCAATGAAACCACTATATAGCTTATATCATTTTGCCAAGGTTTGAGGTTTATTTCGTATCTACATTATTAGCCAGCCCATAATCAATTAAATACAAGTTTACAAAATGGCAAGGACAATCTTTTAAAATAAAACTACAAAGTTTATTCCTATAGCGAATTCAAAATCTTAAAATTCAACTTAGGTCAGCATTTAACTTCCCAGAAACTCAGACTCCCAGTCCTCAGAGTTCATCACTTCATCTGTCTAATATTTCAACTGACAACTTTCTGATGGTACATTTCTAGATATCTATCCATATTTACTTATTTATATATATTTTTCAAAAACAAATTCACAAAGACTAAAATCGAACATGTTCAAATCTCTATTGCTCCCTGCATAGTTTTTCCAAATATATCCTGTTCTTTTTTTTTATGAGTTATCGTGTAAAAAGAACTGCGGCATTTTTAAAACTTTTAGCTTTTTTGTATTTACGATATTTTTATTTTTAGGAAAGGGGGGGGGAGGGGTTGTATGCGACGCTGCATACATTACCTGCTGACCGACACGAAACGATGGGACGTCTAAGCGATTCTTATCAGCAGCAGCTTTCTGAGCTGCCTGTGCGTGCTGTGTAAGAGCCTTGCCAAATGCTAAGGTCAAGTTCGACCACGTCGGATATGTGTCAATGACGGAGGGCTGTTCCGGTGTAAAGTAAGGCTTGGACTTGGAGTCGACGTTGTGCCATAAGGGGAAGATGACCTCGTTGAATTGGACGTGTCGACAGGTCTGGTGTATCCAGCGTCGACGTTAAGCATGCGATATTCGTCGGCATGCGTAGAGAAGGGGTTATGTGTGATGAGGATGTCAACACGGCATTTGGGACGGAGCTTGTCTGTGTTGCCGTGGTCATGGCTAAGGGTCATACAACCTTATACGCAAAGTGCTTTGACGATGGCAGTAACGGGGCGACCAAAGAAGACTGCGTAAGGGCTGAGACGCTTGGGGTTGGAGGCACGGGGGGAGATGTTGCAGATGTGGGAGGCATGGGATTTGGCCTCAGCCTATATGTGGGAGGGTTGGAGAGCCTGGACGACCATACAGAGTGTAATGTTCATGTTGGTCTGGTACACGCGTTTGACACCACCGTGTTTGGCGGAGTCACTCGTAGGGTTGAAGAGTATCTGCACATGGGCGAGGTGATTGACGCGTTTGAATTCGGTGGCAAAAAAAATTACCACCACGGTTGGCAATGATGGTGCAAAGACGATCGCGACCCTGTACTTTAATGTATGTGTAGAAATGGTCTAGGACGAGGTGAGCGTCGCTTTTGTCGCGCAGGTGTTCCTGATATTCAAGGCCGGTGCAGCGTTCAAAGAAGCGGATAGTGTATGCATGACCACCGTAGCCCTGCTCAACTTTGTCTTCAAGATCGACCTGCCATTCGGCGCCGATGTCAGGGAAGGTGCGGGACTTATTGCTGACGGAAAACTTGTGTATTTTTCTAAGGACACATGCGATGCAAGAGCATGCGGGGGGGGGGCGGTGTGGAAGAGACTGACGTCGATGGCGGTCTGGAGAGCTGCAGGGATGGGGACGGCATGAGCCTGAGGACCGAAGATAGCGACACCCGTAGAGAGCCAGTTGGGAGTGATGACAAAGTCTTGGGTGCCGTCTAGTTGGCGGCGGAGAAACGTGTGCGGAAAAGAGGGGATAAATTCGACGTGCGACTGAAGATGAGACATGAGAGTGGGCCACCAAGCAGCTTTAGGTTTGACAGGAAACAGCCAGATCATGCGGCCCGTGGGAAGTCTTTCCAGGGGAGGTTGCCGTAGAGGCGCTTGGTAGGCTGGCGTCAGTTCTGCTTGTACGCGTCGTGAAGAGGAGTCGTCTTATCGGTGTGGTCAAGGGTGTAGTAGATGGGGACTTGGTGGTTGTGTTGAGTAGCGAACATGTCGATGTCAACGGGACCAAAGACCTAGGGGACGTGAGTATCGAAAAGTGTGGGGTGGAGTTGATAGTCGTCGCAGTAAGAGGAGGAGGGATGGGGATATTGTGGGTGTGGGCAATGCCTTTAGTCGTACGGATGGATTGATGGCCAAAGCGGGCATGATGGAGGTTGAGGCTGTTCGCTTGGGAGGTATTCAGATGGTAGCGCCCGACAGATTCGTCGATGATGGTAACGATGGAGCCATTGCGTGTGATGAGGCATTGGGCAAGGCCATCGGGGGTAAGGGTTTCGGAAAAGAAGATGGTGTAACCGTTGCGCTGCATGTTACGTACGGAGAGGATAGGCTGAATGGTGTCAGGTAGGATAACGGCAGGACCGAGGGCGGGGAGAGTACCACGAGTGGAGGCGGTGACGAGAGAGCCGCCGGCGAGCTCAATGTCGTAGCGGCCGTGATATCAGAGAGTGAGTCGGCGAAAGTGACAATATAGATGTCGGCGCCAGAGTCGATGAGAGCTGTAGCGATGACGGATTGGTGATTGAGTTCTGCACGGAGGATAAGCATGTTCACATGGTAATGCACCGGTCCAAGGGGTAGATCAGGAGAGGGAGGAACTGGAGGCGGACGTGTAGGATAGGGTGACTGGCGCCAGGGAGGATGAGGGCAGGTCTGAGGCCGGGGAGAGTACCGCGAGTGGAGGCGGTGTTGAGAGAGCCGCCGGCAAGCTCAATGTCGAAGCGGCCGTGTTCGATATCAGAGAGTGAGCCAGCGAAAGTGACAATAAAGATGTCGGCGCCAGAGTCGATGAGAGCTGTAGCAATGACAGATTAGTGATTGGGTTCTGCACGGATGATAAGCGTGTTCACATGGTACTACACCGGTTCAAGGGGTGGATCGGGAGGGGGAGGAACTGGAGGTGGGCATGTGGCTACGTGAGGAACCCCGTGGCTTCAGGTACGGCGATATGCAATGGTGGTGTGACCGGTGAAGTTGCGGCAGTTGGTACACTTGGGGAGGCCAGGGAGAGTGCATTGTGAGCCAGTGTGAGACGAGTCCCAGCAGCGGATATGCGCCGTGACCGGGCTTCTGCCGTGCAAAGCAGTTGCCTGAAGGGTCTTTACCAAGTGAAACGCGGCGGGGTCGGGGATTGGGGGCGTGGAAGGAGTGTGGTATGAGACACTGGCGACGGCATAGTTGCTGCTGATGCTGAGAATGGTTTTGCTGTTGGTAGCATAATTGCTCATCTTAGTGACGATAGCGGGGTGTATGTGTGGTCGGTAGCACCCATGACGTCTTGGGCAACGATGTCAAAGCCGTCATGGAGGGGTTGAAGTAGACTGCAGATGTGATAGAACTCAGGAGTGTCGGCATGGAGGCCTTTGAGTTGGTCGCGAAGTAGGTGGACTTTGGCGATGCTGTCGTCGAGGAATGGTTGCTTGGGGAGGGTTACAAGTTGGACAAGAAGCTCCCATATACGACCGATAGTGATGGAGTTGACGTCGTTGCAAAGGCGGCGATAGAATACATGAGGGTCTTGGTCGAGGTAGGTGCCATACTGTTCTGGGAGGCCGCTGCCGAGTGACTTGAATAAGAAGGTGGTGCCGACGGTTTTCTCGGAGTAGTCGGCAGTGGAGGCAGGTTGAAGAGTGTGGAGAACGCCATACTTAAGGATGTGTATGAGTTGACGATGCCAATTGGGGAAATTGTAGTCCTCGGTAAGCTTCGTAGCCGGGTTGTTGCTCGAATATTTAAGAGCTTTGCCAGTGGTGGCACGACTGTTAGGGATGTTCGGTATTAGGAGTGGGGAAGCTGGGTGAGACCGAGGTGCGGCGGATGGGATGCGTTGTTCGAGCTTGCGAATCTTGCTCTGAGCAACCTGGAGTTGTTTCGTCGTGGAGCTGAGTGGCGGCAGTGGTGAGGTCTTCGTTCTCTGCGAGTGCTTCCTGTAAGAGTTGGGAATGTTCGTGCTGCTGTTGGGTGAGGCTTGCACGGGGTGCGTCGCGATCGGTGCGCAAGCGTTGATTGTCGGCTTCAGCGAGGGCATGGGCTTTGCGGAGGGCAGTGTGAGCGGTTTGGATGTAAGCATCAGGGGAGGCAGTAGACTGTTCTTGGGCTTGGATTTGTTCGAAACGGGCCTCTTCGCGCTCCTCGAGGTATAAGTCACGCTCATGGCGGAAGCGTGGGAGATCATTTTGTAGAGCGGTGTGTTCTGTGGTTGCGTTGGCGTTGATGTCTTGTGTACGTGTGAGATCGCGATGAAGGGTATCACGTTCGAGAGCTATGGCATGACAGTCGAATTGCGCCTGTTCACGTTCAGTGCAGCTATGGCATAACAGTCGGATTGCACCTGTTCACGTTTAGTGCGAATGCGATGAAAATCAGATGTAAACTGGTCACGTTCAGTGATGAGTGTGCCTCGTTTGTTGCGGATGCAATCGAGATCAGTGGCGAGTGAAGTCTGTTCTATAGAGGGCTAAATCGCGAGCGGTATTGGCAGTGTTACGTTCAGTGAGAATTGTGCGTCGTTCGTGACGTATGCGAGCAAGGTCAGCATTAAGAGTAGCAATGGATGCAGCTTGTGTAGCGGATTCGACGCGGATGGTATCAAGCTCGGCGGATAACGTGGCGCGGTCATGTCGAATACGGGTAAGGACAGCTTGTGCATCGGTGGCGGCTTTGTGATAGTTGTTGAGGTCGGTGATAGCAGTGATTGCATCAAGTTGTGCACCTAAGTAGATGGCGGTGTTGTTGACGTGAGGGTTGTCGTTTGTGTCAAGAACGGCAGAGATAATGGTGCGGACAAGTTGAATGTGGTTGTTGGCGTGGGAGATATTGTTGTCTGGCTGAAGTGTTGGGAAGAAATCGAGTTGGAAGCGTTGGGCTCCATCGAAGGAGGAGAGTGTAGTGACGGGGATTTGGCCCGTGGGTGGAGGGAGTCGCATGGCGATAGTGAATCAGGGGACTGGCGAGAGGGAATCAGAGATCAGAATGTCGATCAGAAGATCAGAGTGTCAATCAAAGGATCAAGGGTGGGAGATCAGAAGGGAGAAGTTCGGGTGGAAATCTAAGCGATGTATATAAGGTATATAAAAATAAATATATTCGATATAGGCCCATAACTGTTGGAACATATATTTGCTAAAGAAGTAAGTTTATTATCATATTACATATTGGGTATATAGTATAATAATTACCACGTGCCCTTTTAAGATATTATTGCAATTATTCGGCCAAAATATGAGCCGTAATATATTTTGGGCCGTATAGGGTTTTTAGGGTTTGAGTCTTATAAATTCGTCTCCACAGTCTGCCCAGTGGGTGGTGCCAAAGGCAAGAGCTTCCTCGTAGAACTCGAAGCTCTTGGGAAGATCAAACACTTCAAATAAAGTTATGTTGTGTAATGTACGGTAGACCTGTAAGAGTGTTTGTCGAGTGCGGTAATGTGTGGTTTATGTTTTGTACAAATGAGTTTCTTAGACACTATTGTAGTCTGGTAATCTAAGTAGGCCCATAATCTGTTCGAACAATTATATCATGTATAGAGTGATTTTATTTATCCCTCTACTGAAGGCTATATCCGTTACCTAGTCATGTGTGTCGCACGTATGTGTAGTATAAACCTAATTAATTGCTGAGCTGACATTCGTTCTTGTAACTGACACAATGACAGCTTTATGTTCAAGTTTGTGTACCATTGTTGGTACCGAACTGTGAGTGTATCTGAAATATCAAGTACAATGTTGATTTTGTCGTAACACGTATATAAAAGCTGAGCATCAGTCAGCTCTGGTGCAGCCCATCTACCGGCTCTATTGCTACTATCCTTGGCTAATTTCTAACTTTGTCAACCTACCACTTTCTCACTTACTTCAATTCAAAGACTTATAGTAATGCCCCTACGTTTCCGTGTTGCCAGGTTCTGAAAGCATAAGTCTCTATTTTCTTGTCACCTCTTGTTCTCAAGGTAATCATGTATTTAAAACGACAGACATTTAAAATGTTTACGAAATGAATGCGAATGGATTTTGTATAGCAATTTATAGAGCCCGTGCCTGTACGCCTCTCACCAATCATTTTGTTTATATGTTTACTTGATTTTTATGTGTATACGCCTCACCTATCATACTGCGCGAAGTAAAAATATGCGCACTAGATTTTGTGTAAATATGGTACGCGTAAATTACTTTGCGCGAGGCTCCTTACCTTGGTGGTCGTCTCGGTATGGTCACGTCAGAAAGGAGACGTTGTCTCTGAGAGGTGGCGCGACACGACACAACCAAAAAGGAATTATATAACACACGGGTTATATCGTGAAAAGGCCAGATTTTGATCTAGAACCCGACAAGCAACCAATTTTCTTCAAAATACAACGCAATGGCTTACTACGTTGTCAGAGGAAAAGGTTTTCCTATTCAACATCAACAAGATCCTCTGAAGTTATATTGCCGGAGCTGTTGGACGTCTCACAACATTACGCGTTGAGCCGTTAGTACTGTCGCGTTTGACCGACGTTTACAGTATAAGTTGTATCTTCAATTTACAGTACTTCATGCAGTATGTTCATATTTGTGATACGAACGCCTATGGCTTTGTGTTTGCCCGTCACCTAGACCCACGCAGTTTTCTTACCAACAGCAAAAGCATATATAACATGAAATGTCTTCCGTGCTAATACATATTTATCTCTCTGCACACATGTCTGTGCTTGAAAACAAATAGGAATCCATACGTCTCTTTCTATCTGCAACAATCAAAGTGCGAACTAAGTGTTCCATATCCAGCACGATTAGAGAACTGAGAATATAGACGTCCAGAACCGCATATTAATGCTGAGCATCACTTAGCTCTGATGCAGCCCATCTGCCGGCTCTAATACTACTATCATTAGATAAATGATGACCTAGAACTAATCTCGTCATTTTTTGTTTTTCAGTACTGATGAGCATTCTTTCTTTTAAATAAGTGTTCATATTCAAACAAAAGCTATTAGTGACCCTACCTATGTTGCACCAGTGTTGTTGAAAAAAGTACACCATTAACTGAGATTAGATACAAACTGATGAGCAGACATCATATCCGTACCTATCTGCATTACGTGTAACCCATCACTCAAGTAAATTCATAAACATTTATCATACGAGGCCCCGTATTGCATAAATCAGAATTTCTAGTTTATTTTTTAATTCAGCCGCGCTTGTAATCAGAAGATGTATATATTTGACAGATAGTGTACATTCGGGCGGATCAGAGGGTGAGTTCCGGACCACACCCGATGATTTAATGCGTCGCAGAGTTTGGGAGTGACACGGCAGGCGTTTCGTCTGCAGTAGAGATAGTAATGTACACGATCCAGTATTTTATCCCCATTGTAACGCTTTCGACATGGAATACAGCTGAATCTCTATCTACCTCGAGTGCCATCAAATACAAACTATCAACGAAAAACTGCGGATATCAAAGCATGCGTCTACATTGAGTGTGAGTGAGTCTGTCGAAATATA